TCTTCACCTAGTCATGTCTGCCCTGCGCTATTCTTCTCTTTCTTTTCTTTCGCTACGGAAACCCCTTTATCATCCCTGCTCTTTTTCCTTACAATTAGTTATGTGCACAAAGGTGGTAGGAACATAAAACATACCAGAACTGCTTTAAGGTTTCAAGTCTTAGAAACTGAGATAAGTAAAGTGACCCAAAAGCATTTTGCCCACTATAACTCTTGATAAAGGTATAGTGGTCACCAGAACTTGTGCTCATTAAATAATGTTTTAGAAGAAATAAATCATTCTTTGTGTTTTATCATGTATTATGAGATAAAAGGTACAACTGTATCCCGTATTCATACATGGCTGTACATTTAATGAGCTACCCTAACGAAAAGGCTGCAGTCAGATAAACTGCTTGCTTAGTCTACTCCCTGTACAGATAAGGGAATTCCCTGGACTCTGACTTTTCTTATACATATTAAGGAGATTTCACATCAAAAGGAATGGTGACCGGGCAGACTAAATTTCTTTATAGTAATTAAGCACAACTTACCCCCTAGAGTATCATTCCCCATGCTATACTGGACGCTTTACAGAAATCTGCACTGCCACATGGGTGCTGCCATAATCGACTATTTTAAGAAGAGCTTTTAATCATGGTTTAAACAAGAAAAAAAAAAACTTAAGGAAAAAAACTTTAATTGAATTTGATATCATTGCAAAGAGAAGACATCATTTTTGCATACCAATCTTCAGTTATTATTATTTTTTAATTTGCACAATACATTTATTTGGAACGTGAACATTATAAGCAAACATAATCAATAGCTCCTCTTTTCAATATAAATGCAGTGTCACAAATAAAATTTATTTACCATAGGGCATAATATGCTGAAATGTACCTATGGTCTACTGTTAATTTTTTTGTAACATTCTAGTTGCAATTATTTTTGTAATGTTTAGTACTGTAAAAATAACACAAATTATTATTTCATTTACTTACATAATGTACTTATTAACATCAAACACACAATTACCTTTTAGTCTACAGAGGGGCTGTGGGCTCACAAACATATTTTTTATCCCTATAACGAAAATAAAAAAGTGCCTTTTTTAAAGCTGATGTAGCCTCCCTGGCAGTATTCCCGAGTGTAGCTCGGGGTAAACTTTCAGTACCACAAGCGGTAACCCCGAGCTACACTCGGGCTTACCATGCGGCGCTGCTCCGGGATCCCTCGATCACTTACCCTGTCCTGCGCTCCCATGATGTCCCTCCTGCAGTGTCCCCGGCAATGTAATCTGGCGGATGCCGGCATCTGTCATCTGGGTTCCGTCTCCTGCGACGTCGGGACATACGGGGGACGGTACGGCGGGAAATTTGAAAATGACAAAAAGTGACATTCACAAAAATCACTAAAATAACATAGTAAAACATTATGGTACCAAACCATTTCATATACATTTTGTCCCGAGTGCTTTGTCCTGGGCCCTGCCTTCATTTTTACTGTTCTTTCTGCCTGGAAACTGAGAAACGTCCATGGTGTCTAAAAAGCGTCCCTTTAGGTCAAAAGCGGTTTTAGACCAGCTAGAGAACAGTGATATAAACTTAGAACCAGAATTGAGTGATAATGATTCGTGGGGAAATTCGTCATCAGAAACTGAAAACGATTTTGCGACTTTGCTCAGTGATGTGCTAACTTGGCGCTATATTTCAAATTTCAGTGTTTTTGGTTTGATTATATTATTGAATTAAATTTATTATTATATTATTATTTTTTATGATTATTTATTAAATTATAATTTATGATTTCGTGTTTCAAGTTTTATCATAGCCGGGATGTTTACTAGACTCTTGTTCGGACAGATTTCAGTGAGTTATTTACAGGCCTACAATATAAAACACCAAATTTCCATGCAAAATAATGGTACCGCTTTCAGCACCAAAAATCTGAAATAATCATACCGCCAGGGAGGTTAATAAACTTTTGCACTCTGCAATTTTTTATTTTATTTTATACTGGATTTTGTTCTTTTAAAATAGTCAATCAAATTCACAGGAAATTTTGCCCCTTAGTGACCAGGGTGATTTAGGCTGCCTCGGACACACAGTGACACATTCCTCTGCCTTTAGTTTAGGATGTGATATGTTTTTTCCACAATCTCAAATTTTATTACCAAAGTTCTCATTGAACCTCCATGTCCTAAATGTATAAATACAATTAACATTATTTATTTTACTCTAGGAACCTTGCCATTACATTTCATTTTGTTTTTTAAATAGCTTGGTTAAATAAACCGTCTCAATTTGCAAAATATCTAGTTGACATCATTGAAATGGCAGCTTGGTTCATTTTGGGAAGTGTCACTTATATTCCCCAAAGGCCATTAAAGAGTGTGAAATGGAATGATGTATGCAATAAAGTTTTCAGAGATATTATACACCCTATTTAAGGTATGATGTCAGACAATTATGAAGAACATAAGTATGCCAGGTTTGAAAATTTAGCTGAAAATTATTGTTTACAGTTAGCATAATATTTCACCATCGTGGCAGTATTTCTGGATGCTCTTGGATTGAATTAGAAAATTGCTGTATTATTTTCTTGACACTTCCCTTTATTATCAACTTTCGTAATCATTCCAAAAATGTAATTTAAATGTGGAACCCTATCTGGACAAGACTTTATACATCAAAACACATAATGCAATTTTCTTCAAAAGGGATTATTTTATTCCCTTTTGAACATTAATTTACCAAAATTCACTGTTATTTATTTTCGTAGATGATGCTGTCCTGAGCCTATTTGGCAGAATTAGTGACAAAAGCAGAAATATTTTCTTGAGCAAAAAAAAACGATTAAAACTCACAAACCTAAAAAAATATATATATATACATTCAATACTTTCAATAAAATAATACCTGGTGATCCTGGCAAGGTTGTCTTTGTCTAGTCACTTCTTTTTGAACATTAATTTACCAAAATGCACTGTTATTTATTTTTGTAAGTAATCTTGTCTTGTATATGGCAGTATACTATACGTGACACAAGCAGAAATATATTCTTTAACAAAAAAAAAAACCATACAAAATGATCATAACTCAAAACCTAAAAAAAAAAAAAAATATTCTGATGAACTATGTACTTAAATCAATAATTGGTGATCCCACCAAGGAGGTTTTTGTATAGTCACTTCCTGTTATGAGAGAACAAGTGTTTCCCAATTGTTCACCTTTGTTGTCACCCTATCATATACACCCCTGGTGAAGACTACAGGCAGCCGTGCTGAAGACATGTTTCTCCAATGTCAATACCAGAAAGCTGATCCAAAGCAATTTGGCAGAATTAGTGACAAAAGCAGAAATATTTTCTTGAGCAAAAAAAACGATCAAGACTCACAAACCTGAAAAAAAAAAAAATATATATACTTTCAATAAAATAATACCAGGTGATCCTGGCAAGGTTGTCTTTGTCTAGTCACTTCCTTTTGAACATTAATTTACCAAAATGCACTGTTATTTATTTTTGTAAGTAATCTTGTCTTGTATATGGCAGTATACTATATGTGACACAAGCAGAAATATATTCTTTAACAAAAAAAAAACATACAAAATGATCATAACTCAAAACCTAAAAAAAAAAAATATTCTGATGAACTGTACTTAAATCAACACTTGGTGATCCCACCAAGGAGGGTTTTGTATAGTCACTTCCTGTTATGAGAGAACACATGTTTCCCAATTGTTCATCTTTGTTGTCACCCTATCATATACACCCCTGGTGAAGACTACAGGCAGCCATGCTGAAGACGTTTCTCCAATGTCAATACCAGGAAGCTGATCCAAAGCAATGATAAGCAGCTGACACTGAAACGAATGCATGTAGACAGGAAGTGGCTGAAAGAGACTAGAAGTGATCGGCAGCACTGAGAAACAAAATGAAATAAGAAGGTGAAAAAACATTGGCAATAAAGTGTGGTACAGTTCGCCTCATGTGTTTTTGTTGGGAACCAGGTTTGAGGCATTTTCAAATAAAAAAAATTATTCAGGTGAATATTTACTAAATTAATCTATTTGCCTATATACACTTTTTACATCGTTTTTCTAACCTTTCATTGACCCAGGGTTCTTTGACTATATAACCCATATAAATTACACCTCAGCTGTTGCTCATAAGTAAGTTACAGTACCTGGAATCTGTCTCAAAAACTCCAGTTGTGCAATAAAACTGGTCACAGTTGCAACGTCCCCACAACCTCTGTTTCGACTCACCAAGTCTGAAACATAAACCTAACAGCCCATTAAATAACTTGTCTATAAACACGTTCTAGATTTCTGAACTTTTTAAATACCTATCGTTTTAGGGGAAAACGTGGCTCATATGGAAAAGGGAGGGGGTGCTGGCATTTGGAATGAGAACAACATGAAGCAAATAAGATTTTATGAGCTAATCTCATTAGATCGTTTATTGGAACTTCTGTTTACTAAAAGCCCATTCTACAAATTGTTTTTGGAGGGACAGAAACATATCAAACTACGATTTGCAATATTTTAATTTTATTTTTTGCCATTCACAATTTCTTTCATTTTTTAAATTTAAAAGAGCTGCTTACCATTACCAACAAAGTTATAAAGGGAACTTTTTTAACTATGAAGATATAAGTGGATTTTTTTTTGTTATAATTTTCTCAACATGTGTCTAGAGCTTTAAAAATTGAAGAGAGTAGTGGTTCCACGCAATATTAATAATGCATAGTATTGTTTCTCATTCATCTTTTGAAAACAAATTTTTAGACAGAAATGTATTTGAATATCAGCAACGTATATTCAGATTTCCTGTCCATTTTAAGATGATAGAAATGTAGAAAAGGTGCGGTAAAAAAAAACAAGTGGTACATCACGTTTGCTTTTTTTTGTCTGAGTATAGATATTTGTTTTTCCCTCTTAAAAGGCTAATAGAAGTAGTGTTGGAGTCACCCTATAGGTTTTTTTAAAGTGTACATATATTTTTTATATATATACTATATACAGGCCTTGAAATTTCCACTCGCCTGCTCATCAATGGTGAGTGGAAATTATGGTGGGGGCGAGTGTGTCCCCCAGGGCCGTCTTGTTGAGCAGACTCAGAGCTCAGGCCAGATCTGTCATTGGCACTGGGAGCCGTCAGACTGCTCAATAGCTGAGCGCAGTGAAAGCAAAGCAAGGAGTGTGTGCTGTGCTCTCTGCCTCCCCCTAGAGTGCAGTACCCGGATCTGTGAGTGAACAACGAAGTACTGCAACTTTTTATAGGGTGTGTGTGTGTGTCTACCTAATTTCAGCTCACTCTGGTCACATGATCCTCTATGTCAGCCAGTGGTGGCTTCAGGGGAGAAGAGAGAGCACTTAGCGTGCATGCGTGCGTGTACATGTGTGTGTGTGTGTGCCTGTGTATGCATGTACATGTGTCTGTGTGCATGTACATGTATGTGTGTGTGTATGCACGTGTGTGTGTTTGTGTGTATGTACATACATGTGTATGTGAGCACATTTGTCTGTGTGTATGTACATGTGTGTATCTGTACATGTGTCTGTGTGTATGTACATGCATGTGTGTGTGTGGGTGTACATGTGTGTGTATGTACATGTGTGTATGTATGCACATGTGTCTTTGTTTACATGTGTCTGTGTATATATGTACATGTGTCTGTGTGTATGTACATGTGTATTTCTGTGTATGTGCATGTATCTGTGTATATGCGTGTCTGTACGTGCCTGTGTGTGTATACATGTGTCTGTATGTGTGTGTGCATTGTACATGTGTCTCTGTGCGTGTGTGTACATGTTTCTGTGTGTGTGTGTATGTGTGTGTGTTTGGACATGTCTGTGTGTGTGTACAGGTGTCTCTGTTTGTGTGTGTTTGTTGGTGGCGAGTAACTCTTAAGGCCTGGCTAGTAGCTCAGGACTTGAAATTTTAAGTCCTGATATATATATATATATATATATATATATATATATATATATATACAGTGGGGATCGACAGTTTGGGCACCCCAGCTAAAATTTGTATTAATGTGCATAAAGAAGCCAAGGAAAGATGGAAAAATCTCCAAAAGGCATCAAATTACAGATTAGACATTCTTATAATATGTCAACAAAAGTTAGATTTTATTTCCATCATTTACACTTTCAAAATAACAGAAAACAAAAAAATGGCGTCTGCAAAAGTTTGGGCACCCTGCAGAGTTAATATCTTGTACTGCCCCCTTTGGCAAGTATCACAGCTTGTAAACACTTTTCGTAGCCAGCCAAGAGTCTTTCAATTCTTGTTTGAGGTATCTTTGCCCATTCTTCCTTACAAAAGTCTTCTAGTTCTTTGAGATTTCTGGGCTGTCTGTCACGCACTGCTCTTTTAAGGTCTATCCATAGATTTTCAATTATGTTGAGGTCAGGAGATTGTGAAGGCCATGGCAAAACCTTCAGTTTACGCCTCTTGATGTAATCCCCCGTGGATTTCGAGGTATGTTTAAGATCATTATCCATTTGTAGAAGCCATCCTCTCTTTAACTTCAGCTTTTTCACAGATGGCATCAAGTTACCATCCAAAATTTGCTGAAATTTTATTGAATCCATTTTTCCTTCTACTCGTGAGATGTTCCCTGTGCCACTGGCTGCAACACAACCCCAAAGCATGATTGATCCAACCCCATGCTTAACAGTTGGACAGAGGTTCTTTTCATTAAATTCTGTGCCCCTTCTTCTCCAAACGTACCTTTGCTCATTCCGGCCAAAAAGTTCAATTTTAATCTCATCGGTCCACAGAACTTGTTTCCAAAATGCATCAGGCTTGTCTATATGTTCATTTGCAAAGTTCAAACGATGATTTTTGTGGTGAGGACATAGAAGAGGTTTTCTTCTGATGACTCTTCTATGAAGACCATATTTGTACAAGTATCTCTTTATAGAGGAATAGTGTACCACAACTCCAGTGTCTGCCAGATCTTTCTGGAGGGATCGTGCAGTCAAACGTGGGTTTTGAATTGTTTTTCTCACAATCCTGCGAGCTGTTCTGTCTGATATTTTTCTTGGTCTTCCAGATCTTGCTTTAACTTCCACTGTTCCTGATGACTGCCATTTCTTAATTACATTCCGAACAGAGGATATTGACATCTGAAAACGCTTTGCTATCTTCTTATAGCCTTCTCCAGCTTTGTGAGCGTCAACTATTTTCAGTTTCAGTTTTCTAGACAACTGCTTAGAAGAACCCATGGTGCTGATTGTTGGGGCAAGGTCAGATGAGTCTGGGCATTTAAAACCTTTGAGATTGACATCACCTGGTCTTCCCAGACGATGATTGAGAACAATCCATGACACTGGCAGGTCTCAGCTTTGCAAAGGGGGCAGTGCATGCTATAAATTCTGCAGGGTGCCCAAACTTTTGCAGACGGCATTTTTTGGTTTTTTGTTATTTTGAAAGTGTAAATGATGGAAATAAAATCTAACTTTTGTTGACATATTATACGAATGTCTAAACTGTAATTTGATGCCTTTTGGAGATTTTTCCATCTTTCTTTGGCTTCTTTATGCACATTAATACAAATTTTTAGCTGGGGTGCCCAAACTTTCGATCCCCACTGTATATGTATATATTTTTTTTTTCATTTTTTTTACTTCCTGTTCCTGATCTCAGTTCTCAGTTGGCATACATCACTGTAAGTGAAACATAAATCACTATGCCTTAATTGCAAATGCCTTTTTAATTATTAATTGTAACCAATTATAATACGTTTATTATCACTTAGATTTTACCAATATTGTTGTTTAACTGTTAACTTTATTTAAAAACCTTGGTAGGTTCCCAATCCCTGGTTTGCATAATGGGACAATTGTTTTTGTTCACCATAATAGATATATTTGGGTTAGTAGGCCTAATAACAAGGCTCACCGACACTGCATCCAGTGAGAGCCAAGAGAGCCAAGACCAAATTTGGCGAGGGAACTCCAGAAGACTGGATGCAGTGGCCCTCTGCAGTTTTGGTGAGCCAGTATTACCCTATGTGTACATTTATTACATGATCATTTTGATTTATATTTGTTATGTATGCATGTTTTTGCTATGGTTTCTTTGTATGTAGTTTCCAGGTTACTCTCTCTACTGATGAAGTGGGGTTCACCAGCGAAAGGAGACTAGAGTCTACCCTTTCCACTTGGATACCCTACGAGCAATACTTTTTTAGAAGATACATTGTCATTTTGTATTGTTGATTGAACAAATGCACCTTATATTACATGTATATTAGGGTACCTTTGTAAAAGCAATAATTCTTGTGGGTACTTGGAACATACAGTCAGGTCCATAAATATTGGGACATCGACACAATTCTAACATTTTTGGCTCTATACACCACCACAATGGATTTGAAATGAAATGAACAAGATGTGCTTTAACTGCAGACTGTCAGCTTTAATTTGAGGGTATTTTACATCCAAATCAGGTGAACGGTGTAGGAATTACAACAGTTTGCATATGTGCCTCCTACTAGTTAAGGCACCAAAAGTAATGGGACAGAATAATAATCATAAATCAAACTTTCAATTTTTAATACTTGGTTGCAAATCCTTTGCAGCCAATTACAGCCTGAAGTCTGTAACGCATAGACATCACTAGATGCTGGGTTTCATCCCTGGTGATGCTCTGCCAGGCCTCTACTGCAACTGTCTTCAGTTCCTGCTTGTTCTTGGGGCATTTTCCCTTCAGTTTTGTCTTCAGTAAGTGAAATGCATGCTCAATCGGATTCAGGTCAGGTGATTGACTTGGCCATTGCATAACATTCCACTTCTTTCCCTTAAACTCTTTGGTTGCTTTTGCAGTATGCTTTGGGTCATTGTCCATCTGCACTGTGAAGCGGCGTCCAATGAGTTGTGAAGCATTTGGCTGAATATGAGCAGATAATATTGCCCGAAACACTTCAGAATTCATCCTGCTGCTTTTGTCAGCAGTCACATCATCAATAAATACAAGAGAAGCAGTTCCATTGGCACCATACATGCCCACGCCATGACACTACCACTACCATGCTTCACTGATGAGATGGTATGCTTAGGATCATGAGCAGTTCCTTTCCTTCGCCATACTCCTCTCTTCCCATCACTCTGGTACAAGTTGATGTTGGTCTCATCTGTCCATAGGATGTTGTTCCTGAACTGTGAAGGCTTTTTTAGATGTCGTTTGGCAAACTCTAATCTGGCCTTCCTGTTTTTGAGACTCACCAATGGTTTACATCTTGTGGTGAACCCTCTGTATTCACTCTGGTGAAGTCTTCTCTTGATTGTTGACTTTGACACACATACGCCTACCTCCTGGAGAGTGTTCTTGATCTGGCTGACTGTTGTGAAGGGTGTTTTCTTCACCAGGGAAAGAATTCTTTGGTCATCCACCACAGTTGTTTTCCGTGGTCTTCCGGGTCTTTTGGTGTTGCTGAGCTCACGGTGCGTTCCTTCTTTTTAAGAATGTTCCAAACAGTTGTTTTGGCCACGCCTAATGTTTTTGCTATCTCTCTGATGGGTTTGTTTTGTTTTTTTCAGCCTACTGATGGCTTGCTTCACTGATAGTGACAGCTCTTTGGATCTCATCTTGAGAGTTGACAGCAACAGATTCCAAATGCAAATAGCACACTTGAAATGAACTCTGGACCTTTTATCTGCTAATTGTAAATGGGATAATGAGGGAATAACACACACCTGGCCATGGAACAGCTGAGAAACCAATTGTCCCATTACTTTTGGTCCCTTAACAAGTAGGAGGCACATATGCAAACTGTTGTAATTCCTACACCGTTCACCTGATTTGGATGTAAATACCCTCAAATTAAAGCTGACAGTCTGCAGTTTAAAACACATCTTGTTTGTTTCATTTCAAATCCATTGTGGTGGTGTATAGAGCCAAAAATGTTAGAATTGTGTCCATGTCCCAATATTTATGGACCTGACTGTACCTGTCTGAGACAGGGGGCAATTAACTTTGACGCATGAAACTGCCACTCACCATAGCCGAAACTTGTGTAGTTTGTATACCTGTGAAAGCGTAGGTCAATGCCGCTCCTCATGCCATGCCCGCTGACTTGTTTCAACTCACCCACCGGGGCTATGATTAAGCCTCAGTGGGTGGGACAAAACATGCCAGGGGGCATGGCATGAGGAGCGGCATTGACTGAGGCTTTCACATACAGTATATATATATATATATATATATCTACACTAGGATCGGCTATGGTGAGAGGCGGTTCCATGCTTAAATGTTCATAGCTCACTGGATGATAGCTCGCTGACATCCCTACTATCCCTACCATTCCTACTATCCTGAGTGCTAACGGGGCCTACACCTCAGCCTGGAGCAGCACCATCAAGTACTAATGGGCTTATTGTCTGTGATGAGGGGGATTGAATTGTTTAATATGCTTGGTTTTATATTTTCTATTATGTAAAAGTATGTTTCCACAGTTTTGTTATATAAAATAATAGATAAGATGGTTCCTCAGCCAGTGATGTAAGCGGGAACTCCAGGCTTACCTTAAATGTGTTTCTTAGCATGATACCCCCTCCCCCTCATTTCCTATCCAAAAGTTGGTGTGTGGGGGTAGCTTTGCTGTTCTTCTGCACTGCATACTGCGCTAAGGAGCTCAGTGCAGTTTAACGATTGAGCAAAAGGTGAAATTA